GATATTCTTATTATTTAAATATAAGGGAATGCTTTTTTAAAAGTTGATACTCTGAAGACTTAAAAGTTAAAATTTTATGACACAAATGTGGAAACTCCTGACAAATGTACTAGCTGAATTTGAAAGATAGGAGAATATGGATGTAATAGAAACTGATGTAAAGGAAATTAAGCACCTAGTAGATCTTAAATTCTGTTTTCTCTTATATTTATCACATACAATAGAATTAAAAGTGCAGAATGTTAAATTAGTGCTGCCAGTGATAAACTTGAGAAATAGTTTCATGGTGTACATTAGAAGCCATTGACTTGGTGAGTAAGAGAATGGTAGACAATGTGCAGGGTGGAGAGATTCATTTAAAATGTATAGCTTTTCCTGTGGGGCAGAGATATGGAACATGAAAAAAAAATGAAACAAAAACTACTGAAAAAGGTACTGAGTTGTGGTTTTTGGTACAATATTTAAAGAGCTTGTAAGTTGTCACTTTCATTTTCACAACAGGAAAATACCTTAAAAGCTAAAAATTATCAACTCTTCTTAGAGCCATCAGAGACTTGAGGTCACAGAGCAAACTGCTACCCCATACTGGACAGACAGTCAGGGGATCCCCTACACCCATGGGTTCATATCCTTGGATTCAACTAACTGCACTGCAAAATATTCAGAAAAAAAGGGATGATTCTGTCTGTACTGAACATGTACAGACTTTTTCTGTTGTTAATATTCCCTAAAAAATACAGCATAAGCACTATTTTTATGGCATTTACAATGTATTGGGTATTATAAGTTATCAAGAAATTATTTAAAGTATTTGGGAAGATGTATGTAGGTTATAAGCAAATACTACACTATTTTATATAAAGGACTTGAGCATCCGTGGATTTTTAGGGTCCAAGGAGAGTCCTAGACCCATCCTCTATGGATACTGAAAATACTATAAATACTATAATAGAAGGAAGCCCAGGACTGTGAATCAGGAGACCTAGAAGCAGAAGTCACCAGATGGAGCCAGGATCAGTAGGAACACATCAACTGTAATCAAAAAGCAATGTAGGCTCAGTGTGGACTAACTTGAAAGTAGCCTTGGGGGCTCCTCACTGGTGAGTATTACCTATAGGAACCCTACCAGATTCTCAGTGTAAAGACTGGGGAAAAAATCCCTTTGTGCTTTCAGCAGGAAGTAATTATATGAAAATATGCCCAGACCTCTCTGTAAGGCTTAGAAAGACCAGCCCTAAGGGGAAGCTGTTTTTCCAGATCCTAACTGACCTGGGGAAAGGGGAATGCCCAGCTCAGGCACTAGAAGACTGAGACATGATTGTGAGAATAGACAACTCTTCCCCTCAACCAGCTCCTCACCACCACTTCGGTGGAGCTCCTGTGTAATAACCAAGGACTATAAGATCTACAAGCCTCAGACTCTAAGATGGAATCTCTAGGCAAACTCAAAGACAATTGGATATAAACCCAAGGACACTAGAACTGACACCACTGAGACAGCCACCAGTAAGCACAACATAACTTCTAGTCAGATAAACTCAAACCTCACACTAAAATCCCAAATGCAGCTTAACAGTAAAGGAACAGACATCATCCAAACTATGCCATCAAACCACAATGGAATTAAACAAGAAATTAAAAATAGAAGGATAGCTTTAGACATCCCCAAATATTTGGAGATTAAACAACATATTTCTGGGTAACACATAGGTCAGAGAAATCAGAAAGGAAATTACAAAAATTAAACTTAAGTGAAAATGAAATTTAAACCTATCACAGTTTGTGGGATACAGCTAAAGTGGTGCTTAAAGGAAAATTAATGGAATTTAATGCATCTATTAGAAAAGATGAGAGACTAAAATAGATAATCTAAGCTTATACCTTACTAAACTAGAGGAAGAGGAGCAAATTAAATTGAAAGTAAGCAGAAGAAAAGAAATGATACAAATTGGTGGAGAAATCAATACAATTGTAAAAAGGAAAATAATAGAGAAAAATCAATGAAACTAAAAGTTGAAATCAATGAACTAAAAGATGAAATAAATAAAATTGATAAACTCCTAGTGAGATTACCGATGAAAAAAAGAAAATACAAATTACTAATATCGAAACTCAAAGATGTCATCCTTACTAATCTCGTGAACAATAAAATATTAATAAGAAAATATTTTGAGCAACTCTATGCCCACATCTTGAATAACTTACTTCAAATGGGCCAATTCCCTAAATACACGATTTACCCAAACACATACAATGAGAAATAGACAATCCAAATAGGTATATATCAATGAAAAAAATTGAATCAATAACTAATGACCATAAAAGCAAAAGCACTAGACTTAGGTGGTCTCACTGGTGAATTCTACCATTTAAGAAAGAAATGATATCAATTTACTAAAATGTCCTTTGAAAATAGATACAGAACAAATATGGTTTAACTGTTTTTATGAGGCCAGCATTACCAAAATACTGAAACCAGACAAGGACATTACAAGAAAGGAAAACTATAGCTTAGTGTCTCTTATGAATATACATGCAAAAATTCTCAACAAAGTATCAAATTGAATCTAACAATGTATGAAAAGAATTATATACTATGACAAAGAAGGATTTTTTCCAGATAGGCAAGGTTTATTCAATTTTTGAAAATCAATTAATATAATCCATTACATCAATAGAATAAAAGGAAAAAATAGTTTGATCCTATTAACAGATGCATTAAAAAGTTTTTCACAAAAGAAACACTCATTCATGATACTAACTCTCAACCAACTAGGAACAGAAAGGAAATTCCTTAACTTGATAAAGAACACTGACAATAAACCTTCAAGTAATATCGTACTAAATCATGAGAAGCTAGATACCTTTCTCCTAAATTTGGGAACAAGACGAGGATGTCCTCTCTCTCCATTCTTATCTCAATACTCTGCTGGCAAGCAGTCCTATATAATGCAATAAGAGCAGAAAAGGGACTTAAACTCACACAGATTGGAAAGGAATAAATAAAACTGTTATTGCTTGTAGATGACATGATTATATATGTAGAAACTCCCAAAGAATTGTCAAAAAAAATGCTCCTAGAACTGATAAACATTTATATCAAGGTTTCAGGATACAACGTTAATATAGAAAAGTCATATGTTTCCCTATATATCTACAATGAATAATTGGAATTTGAAATTTTAAAAACATATCATTTACATTAACAATCCCTAAAATGGAATACTTAGCTATAAATCTAACAAATTACGTGAGGAAAACTACAAAATCCTAATGAAATAAATGGAAAAAAGCTCCAAATAAATAGATATTCCATGTTTTGGGGTAGAAAGATTTAATATCAACAAGATGTTGTTCTTCCCAACTTGAATGTTAGGTTTAACACAACCCTAGTCAAAATCCCAGTGTTACTTTGTGGATATTAACAAACTGATTTTCAAGTACATGTGGAAAGACAAAAGATCCATGATAGGCAACACAGTATGGAAGAAGAACAAAGTCTGAAGACTGACATTACCTGACTTTAAGACGTAATGTAAAGGCTCAGTAACTTCAAGAGATAGCCTCACACCAATATAGTCAACTGATATATGAGAAGAGAACAAAGGCAATCATGTGGGAAAATCGTCGTCTTTGCAACAAATGGTGCCAGAACAAATGGACATCCACATGCCAGACAATGAATCTTGGCACTTAACTTATACCTGTGACAAAAATTAACTCCAAGTGGATCTATGACCTGATTGTAAAATGCAGATTATAGAAGTTCTAGAAAATAACATAGGATAAAATTTAGGTGACTTTGGATGTGACAATATCTTTTTAGATACAATATCAAAAGCATGATCCATAAAAGAAAATGTTGGTAAGTTTGACTTCATTAAAGTATATTTCTGCTCTGTGAAAGACACTGTCAAGAGATTAAAAGGTCAATCCATAGACTGGGAAAAAAATTTTGCAGACCCATGTCTCGTAAAAAACTTGTCTACAAAATACATAAAGTTTTGTATACATAAACTTGTATGCAAAATCCTTAAAATTAAACCATAAGAAAACACACAGTTAAAACATGGGCAAAAGATGTGAACAGATGTCTCACTAAAGAAGACAGATGCAAATGAGTTCATGATAAGATGCTCGACATCATATGTCATTGGAGAATGGCAAATTACAGCAGCAATGCGATGCATCTCTATACCTAATAGAATGAATAAAATACAAAACACTGACAATACCTAATGTTAACAATAATGTGGAGCAATAGGAACCCTCATTTGCTGCTGATGAGAATTCAAAATGGTACAGCCACTTTGGCAGACAGTTTGGCAGAATCTTATAAAACTCAGTATAGTCTTTCCATCTGATTCAGCAATACATATTAATAAAAAAACCAGTTTTATTATGTATGTATGCACAGGAGTTTCACACAAAAAATAAGACTCAAGGAGCTTCCCAGATGATTGAGGCTTATACACCGTATGAGGTTAAACAAAGCAAAAAGGATTTGGGGATCCCGGGCAGGGGAGGCCAGCTATGGGAAGGTGAGGGGAGGAAATGTATACTGGATTAGGGTTGTCTCATTACGCAGATAAGAGTCTCTCTGGTTCAGAGTTGTCTGGGAAAGTAGCTCTCTTTCTGGTAGGGAGACATCTTTACAAATGGAAATTTCCTTTGTAAATGTGAATTTCCTTTTCAAAAGAAGACAATTTATACTCAATTTTTAGGCAGTTAAGGAGAGGTAAAGAGCTTTTCCTGTGTCTTCTGGTCTTCCTGTGTCTTCAATTGCCTTTAGCTCAAAACAATGCATATGCCAAAGAGGCCTGTTTTGGGGTGACTTCTTGTATCCTTCATTTCTCATGAATTGAACTTATTCTTGTGAAATGAACTAATTGTTTTGAATAAACTGCAGTGGACTTGTTATTGATGAGCCACATTTTAAAAATGGGTTGATGCCAGTTTGGGAAGCTGCTGTTCTCAGCCTGTGCTGCTTCTCTCTGCAGGGACGCTGTGGACCTGTCTTCTGCTGGTGCTGCAGGCGTGCTCATTGGCTACTGTCCCCAGCAGGATGCCCTGGACGAGCTTCTGACTGGTTGGGAGCATCTCCATTATTACTGTAGCTTACGCGGGATTCCAAGGCAGTGCATCCCTGAGGTAAATCTCCCTGGGGTCTTCTAGATAAAGGGACCCATTGAGGAATGCTTGGTGACCACCTCTGGCTCCAAGGCAGCTCTCTCACCCTGTGAGGAGAAGAAACTGTAGTAGCAGATAAACTTACCTGCAAGAGATTTTCCAATGTGATTATACTGAAGAAAACATTAAATAAATTTGCCTTATTTACATAATATATTTAAACTGCATCTGTGTGAGGCAGTCCTGTGGTCAGAGTTAAAACATAAATACATCATTTATAACTTTGTATCCCCCTTGCTCTTTTCTTCCTCTCTAAATACCTTTTACATTTATTGAATGACTAATTTGTATTCAGGAAGAAATATCACAAACTCTGTATTTTCAGGGCTTATGAAAGAGTGGGCACAAAATACGTGTGGAAACTGGGGGATTGTTGGAAGGAATGACTTCCTGATGAGTGGGCGGACAGATTTCTACTGCCAGGGGATTCCTTTCTGGGTGGCCTTAGGGGAATGAAGGAGTGGCAGGAACTGCAGACCTCCATACCCCCATCACTGCCTGTGACAGGAGAGAGGCAGGTGGAGCAGTGAGAGAGCAAAAGACAGCTGCCACTTCTTCTGCGCGAGTAGAGGTCAGCGAAGCAGAGCGGACAGCATTGATTGACAGCTCAGGATGTTGTACCGTGAGCCACCAAAATTGCAGTTACTTAAGCACATTTTTACCTTTTCTGCATCTCATTATAGAAAGTCTGGGGTGCGTGCTCCTCAGATTTCTGGATTCTGAACTACAAGCAGAAATAAGTGGCTTATATGATGCATTTGCAATTAGATTCTGCGGGAGAGGGAACATTCTAGGACTCACAGGAGACAACACTAATAGCCTTCACCTTCACTGGTCCATGAACATTCATTCTCTGTTCTGTTTTTATAATGCTTCAGCATTTGTTCTTATTTATGCTTTCTAACTTTAAGTGAAACTAAACAGAATGTCTGCACCTCATTGTAAGGACTCTGGCCCCTTTTCCCATCTCCTGTCTTAATAAAGCAAAGATAACCGACCACCCCACAGAGACCTGCTGGTTGTAGTTAAACAGTTATTGGCATCCGTGACTAATTGTTGGTTCAATTTTTAATCGGTATTTTATCTCTGTCAGCTCCTCCTTGTTAGTTTTTGATGAAAGAGGCGGGTGCTTGGCAATGGCTTTAAGCTGGTGCTTTTGTTTTTTGAGGGAAACATGCTTATGAAAAAAGCTCTCATTAATGTAGTAAGAATCGGTGCTTTCTGTCATTCAGGGCAATTGTGTCTTGATATTCAGCTGTCTTACAACTTTGTTTTTCTGAATTGTTCTACCAAGAAAAGTTATTTAAATGGTAACCAATTAGGAACTGCCTTCATTTCCTTTATACAACTGTAACTGATTTTGCAGACAGTAATGCTACTTGCTCTTGTTTCTAAGATGTCAGCTCACTTTTGCATCTGTTCCCAAAGGAGTTAGCTCCTTTTCTGGAAAAAATTTCTCTGTTCTATATATTTGGGGGATATTTAAGTTATAGAACAGGCATATCCATTCTGAGGTGCTTATCACAAGGTGTCCAGAAAGAATTATTATAAAATAATGGAAAACAGTAGTTTTATCTTTCAGTATTTCAGTATTTATTTTCAGTATTTATTCCATGTCAGGTACTGTTCTAAGTATTTTACAGCAACCATATGAAGTAGATGCTTATTCCCATTCTACAAACTGAGAAATTAGACACAGTTTAATTGAGACACAGAGACACAGGAAAACTGAGACACCAGAGAAATTAGGCCATTTGGCCACATTCACATGGCTAGTATTTGGCAAGGTTTTGCTTTGAAACCATATAAACCAGCTCCAGGGTACAAGTTCTTGACTAAGACATTACTCTGACATTTATTTTATCCAGGTTGTTAGTTCTATAAGATGGAATTCTTGGTGTATTAACAGTTCAGTCTTATTTTTATACCCCTGGGGTGGCCAAAGAAGTGGAAACTGTGTGGGGTTAGTGCATGACTACTCTAACATGGAACTCCTCCTGCTGCCCGGCTTTCCACTGGGCTGGAGTTGGGCTCAACATGTGTGCCTCATGAGTCTTTCAGAACTCATAGATATGGGGGTAATCTTTAGACACATCTGCTGCTCACCTTAGTTGTTTTCTTCAGGCTGCCATCTCTTTTCATTGTAACATGGACAGCCACCATTGTATGTTCTCTGATTCTAAGTGGAAGACCCTCTGTGCTTGCTGGGAGGCTCTTTGTTCAGCTTTACAGTCCCCTGTCCTCCCTCCCTGGGACCCTCAGAGCCCATGCTGTGGCTGAGCCAGCCCACCTGTGCTCCACTTGCTGGTCATTTCTATGTATGGTCAAATTGCTCACTTCCCCAACCTTTCAAAAGTTTGATGAGTTAAGAATAAGATGCCACTTCATAAAGCTTGAATTTAGATTCGGCAAGTTAACGTAATGATTTTCAATTTTCCCATGATTTACACTGCACAGTTTTGTGCAGTGTGCATATTTGAGCCTGAATTTAATTAACCTTATATAACATGTTGTATCAAGTTATATCACTTGGTTATTACCAGATGATGCAAGAGATGAGGACTACACAGTCTGGGATGCTAGAGAAAATGTGTAAGAGTCCATCATGCTAGGTAGTTTTAAAGGTAGTGTCATACCATAACGAACAAACAATACTTCTAAATGGGAAGAGATTTGGCAAATTCTGCGTGTTAGTTTTCCCTGGTATAGAAGAAGTATGGCCCCTCATCATCTTAGTTTTGTTAATACCTGCACATGCCTACCAGGGAATATCCCTACTGTGTCTTGCTTCCCCCTGTCTTCTCTAAAGGCATGACTTTTATCTTTAAGTTTTCTTCCATTCACACAGTCAGTTGAGCTAGAAGGAGCTAGAAGTTATAAGATAGTAGGAATGGGGACAGGAGGTCATCTTCAGAGGTAGGGCCAGGATAAACATTTCCATCTGAAATCCTTGGTTTCCTTTCCCTACTTTACCACTCATTTTGATCTTTAATCTCACAGAAAATGTTGACCTGGCCATTATATATGCTAGTGGAAACATTTTGGCTTTGGAGTCCAGCAGATGTATGTGTGAATCTCAGGGCAATTTATTTGGGCTCCAGTGATGTTTATAGAAGTCCTACTATGTGCCAAACATGAATAAGCACTGGGGCTATGCATCCCAGTGCATATCCCATTGGGATTCATTCCAAAACGAATACATCCCCAAATGAAAGCATCCCAAAACAAATGCATTCCAGTAACTTGCCTTAAATATGGTACAATTTCTAGAGTTTCATGAGAGAAAAATACTAAACTGCAGAGAGAGATTCTGTGAACTTTTGACATTTTGGGATTTTAGGCAGTATTTTGCCAAACGAGATTGCTAAGGCATTGCTCTTGCCATTACTTTGACAGTATTGCTGAGTGCAGAAAAGACTACAGCAAAATACTTCTTATTAGGCTATTTTCAGTTATTTTCTGACAACATGACATTCAGAAAACATTGGATCAAACTAATACATTTGTTCCTGTATACTCTGGAATCTTTCCTATGGTTAACCAATCCAGAATTTGCAGGCTGCAATATTTAACCTTTTGTGAAACTGGGAAAACATGACATATGTTTCCTAACTTCATAAAAATGTGCAATAATAATTTGGCAAGCTTATTCAAAATGTAACTTGCATTCTCAGGTGCATTTCTCCAGAACCAAGTGCTTATATTATTATTTTTTTATTTCGTTTGTCAGTTTATCAGCTTTCATTTATGTATTGCTAATCTTTGAATAATATAGATGAGAGTAACTAAAAATTTCTTTCTAATACATGCACACACACACATATTTTCATTCTCTTTTTCTTGTAATATTTATAGGTCTAAAAATAACCAAAACAAAATCGACTTCACAATTTGTCATTTTTGCCAGCCTCACCACTGTTAGTACAGCAGGTCTCCAAATAACGTTGTTTAGTTCAACATTGTTTCATTACAATGATGGGAAAAATAAAATTGAATTTCTGCCAGGACTGCTGTCGGAGAGGAGTTTGCACACTCTCCCCATGGCTACCTATGTTTTATCCAGGTACACTTGTTTTCTGTCATGTCCCAAAGCTGTGTACATTAGTTTCTTTGGTGTGTCTAAATTGAGTCCATGTGGGTGAGTACATGTGGACATGTGAGTGCACCCTGTGATAGAATGGAATGCTGTCCAGGGCTGTTACTGCCTGGGGCCCTGAGCTTCCAGCATAGACTCTGACCACCCTCAACCCTGAACTGGAATAATTGGGTAAATCATGTTTTTGTTAATCTTTCACAAATGTATGTGTAGCTCACATTTATTTCAGTGTTTGCTCTTAGAAGTGTTATTTTTATTTAGAAGTTTGGAGATGTTTTTGTGACCAGACATATGACATAGGAACTTTTGTTTCTACCAATCAGCTTATGGTAGAACTGGTTTCATTAAATGTTGATTCAGTTAAAGCAGTCTCCAAGAACATATGGATGACATTAAGTAAGGACTGCATTGGCTTTTTCCCGACAGATAAAGCTTTCTAACAGGGTCTATAATGCTCTTAGTTTTCTTCTCTTTTATGGGGACATGTGCCTCCTTTTCCCGGAAGCCTCCCTGGTTTCCTTCCTTCATCTCTCATTATGAGTGTTTATCTAGCACTGATTTACGCTTCTTGGCCATTCTTCTCGGAGAAAAATTTGGATGAAGCTACATTACTACTTCTGTTATCTCTTTAATTCCTGAAATGCCAGGCATTTATATTTCTTCATTTATATGACCCTTCTCTTAATATTTGTATGTGTTTGCTTGTGAGGAATAAAATGTTTTGTCTTAATATTTTAGAATTCACTTAAGTGAATTTTTATTCAACTGGTGATAATTGAAATAATTGGTCTGAATGGAGCCAGGAAAAAGGATGATTCATATAAAACATTCTGGGGAAAATGACTTTACTTTCAATAAGACCAACTACTGGCCTTGATAAGATTTTCTTAGGCAGATAGGAGGAGATTAAATATTTCATCTTTATGTATCTTTGGGGCCTGGAAATCTGCATTTCCTAGAATTATACTATTTCACCATAAGACCAGTCCTTGACCCTCTTCATTCATCTGCAATATATTTTGAAGTTGTACAAGTAAAGCCATACAACAATTTCTGTTGAAAGATTTTATTGGGGGACGTAATGATTATGCTAATATTTGTAGAGGTTCTTAATGCTTCATTATCCTTCATTATCCTGTTATTATCCTAACTTTTATGCACTTGTCAAAAAGAGTATACACATTAGTTTATATTTATTTAGTTATTTGGGATGCACAATTATTAACCTATCTTTTTAGTCCTAAGGAAGTTTCCCTCTTCTCCTAAATTTGAATTAAAATATGATCTTGGTCAATTTGGCTAAATGATGATATCTAAAAAATGAATCTATATTAATACTTCTATGGTCATAAGAGTTAAATAAAATTGTTTGCAACATTTTTAAATTATGCTACGTTCGAAACGAAAAAGTTACTTACCTTGGACCTCAAGAAGAATTAATCCAGCATAGGAGACAGACTGGAAACAGAAAATGTAGTGTGGTACAAATTACAGTGGGAAATGCTAAATAAAAGCATTCTATAGACACATAATACACAGAAGGGGTGACACATACAACACACAGAAGAAGTGACAATTATTTTTTCTGATGAGAGATATGGGCTGGGCCTTCTAGGATGTGGGACAAGCTGGCAGGGTGGAAAGCAGGGTAGAATAAAGAAGCTGTGAACCCCAGGCTTTTGGGTACGGTCTGAACTCTCCTGTGGCTGGTGGGGGGGTGAGGTTTGACAAATGCTGCCACCATCCTTGGGACTTGGCAAAGTGGTTTTCAGCAGTTGCAAATAAGAAATATTTCCCGTTCCCCTCCCTACCTCTAGTTACTTTATAAACCAGACTCTGAGTTTGCAAACATTAACAGTGGCTTCTCAATGTGAAAGGGTTATTTCTTTCCTTGTGTTAATATTGAAAATTCCCTCCAGCTATAAAAACGAACAAAATCACATCCTTTGCAGCAGCGTGGATGCAGCTGGAGGCATCATCCTAAGCAAATTAACACAGGAACACAAAACCAAATACATGTGTTCTTATTTATAGGGGGCAGCTTAACATTGGGTGCACATGGACACAAACATGGCAGCAGTAGACACATGGAAATCCAAAAGTGTGGAGGGAGGGCATGAGACAAGGGGTGAAGAACTACCTGTTGGGTTCCATGCTCACTACTTGGGTGATGGATCATTAGAAGCCCAAACCTCAGTATCACACAATATACCCATGTAACAAACCTGCACATAGACACCCGGAATCTAAGATAATAAAGAAAGTGTTCTACTTTGGTTGTCTTCTCCCTTTAAGTTTTGACACCTCTTTCCATTAGTTTCATTCCTATTTATTTCCTTCTCAGTTTTCTTTTTGGCATTCCCGTCTCTGCTCACCTTAACGTGGGTATTTATCTGGACCTCCAACCTCGAGTGTGTTTCTTGCCCACCCTGCTCCCTGAACTCTAGATGTGATTATTTTGACTGTCACTTAGATATCTCCAGCCACAGAAAACTCCCACCTGTTCACTCTCAATTACTGCCTGTATGGTGAAGGGGGATGTTTCAGGAGATGTACTTGATTGTATGTGTGAAGATGAGCAGGGTTAGTGGGAGGGAGAAGCAGGAGTGAGGACTGAGACCAGGTTTCTGGTGGGCACTTTGGTGAATGCTGGTGTGCACATGCACATCCCTCTCTTCCAGGTTGCTGGAGATCTCATCAGGCGCTTACACCTTGAAGCCCATGCGGACAAACCTGTGGCCACCTACAGTGGGGGAACCAAGCGGAAACTCTCTACAGCCCTGGCCCTGGTGGGGAGACCTGACATTCTTTTATTGGTGAGTAGAGGAATGTCAATGTCTTGGAATAAGACACATATTGCATATTGATTTATAAACTGATTTTAAGAGTTTTTCTGGGAAGTAACTTTAGAACTTGCAAAGCTGGTTCTACAAACTAGTAAACTGTTTTGCCATAAGCCAACATTTCCCAAACATCATTTGAATTTTGCAGAAATAAAACACTTACCTTTTGCTAGATTCACTCATATTCGTCAAACTGAAAATTCTATAAAATTTTAACATTAAAACAGTGTTTTCAAAGATTATTAGAATTCATCTGTAATCTGAAACCCATTATGTTTTCCTCTAGAATATTGCTTTGATGTCTTTTTCTCTGTGTAGCTGTATGTTTATCACAGCAGTAGTGACACCTGTCATGGTGAATCTTGAAGATGGGTGTTGAGAGTGAAGGCTGGCTATGATGTTGAGGGTAGGAAGAAAACTCCAGCAAGAGGGTAGAGTATATGCAATGGTCTTGAGACAAGGTAGTCTGTAATCAGTCTGGGGACTGCAATTAATTTGATTTGAATGAAACAAAGCATTAATTGGAGGCAACATTTGTCAAGAAATGGAGTTAATTGTCTTACATTTCATAAAACAGCTATAATTGTTAATACAAGTAATGCCATTGAAAGAATAAATAAAGGCTATTGTTACACGCCATAAATTGGATTCTAATCACTGGAGTGCATCTTTGGACTTCACACCAGTAGAGAGTCTGAGGGGTGTCAAAAAGTGTGGAAAACAAAACAGATTCCTTTTTTTCTAGCTTTCTTCATCAAATGAATACACCCTTTCAGTGGGGTAGTAAATGGGAATTAAGAAGGTCTGTGTTAGAAAACGGTCTCATCATTTTCTGGTTGTTTCCTGGAAACTCACTTGAATATTCTTTTTAGGTGCCATAAATTTGCTTTTGCAATGTCCAAATTCCTGGACCATTGTATAGTTTCATATTCTGGAATCTGATAATAAAAACTACCATTTGCACAATCCTGAAGTTCACAAATTGCATTTTATTTTCAACACAAGGCGGGATTATGTTGAGTAGTTAACAATATGTGCGCGTTCATTACTTTCTGTGGAATTTCCCTATGCCCAGCCCCTTACAATGCATCTCCTCAGTTGGATGAAGGGGCCGCTGCTCTATAGCCATGACCTGGTTCACTGCAGACCATGACATGCTTTTCTTTGATACATCCTTGCTCTCAACTTTCCATGGATGCCCAAACCTATGGCACAGTGGTCAAGGTGGGGACTCCGGAGTCTGACTGACAAGCATTGAATTTTGCTTTTGCAGCCGCCCAACACTTGGCCTTGTATGTTCTATGCCTGCTTCCTTCTCATCTGAAAATTGTCCTGATAATAATGTCTGTCTCATGGAGTCATTGAAAGCAGTAAATAAAATAAACTACATTAAGCATCTAGCCCAGTGTCCAGCAGATGGTAAACCACAGTAACTATTTGTGACTATGATGATGGTTACTGTTCAGAGCAATAGGTTAAAGAGATTTGTTGCCAGTCCTTTGGAGTTCTCAACAGAGAGACTAGAAGTGACTCTCAGAGCTGACATCAAGGAGGGAATCAGGAAAACGTAAATTACACATCCAACGCTTATGCTGAGCATTGCATGATCACACCTTTTATTTACTTATTTTTATAACTAGTACACATATATTGCTTGATTTGCAGAAAAGACTAGATATTGATTTTTCTGTTCAGTGCTTCTCCACCCACCCCTACTGCTTCCCATCTGTTTCTTTCTTTGGGGAAGTTTATGACCCGAAGCTCTTAAGAAATATGTGTTTAGTACTCCCTGGCTAATAAAAGCACAGAAATACATCTTACAGTTTGGCAAGATTTCTCTAGAAGTGGTTCATATAAGAAATACTTTGGTGTCTATTGAAGGAGAAAGCTTCAAGTTCTAAGAAATATCAATTTATTTGATGTTGCTAAATAAATGAAGCCTTTTTCTGCTATCATATGTCTTCCTAGGGCATATCATTCTGAAATTTTATGGAGGTTGAAAATTCATTTTAAAAACATCAAGGTTGGCTTACCTAGCCAGATCATGAAGGAGAACCAACCTGGCATGAAAATATAGCCCAATTCCCCACCTCCCAGTTTTATGGAGGTATAATTAATAAAAATTGTATATATTTAATGAATTCAACATGTGTTTTGATATACATAAATATTCTGATGTGATGACTACAACCAAACTAATTAACATATTGATGATGTCATATAATTGCCATTGTTTTCCCTGTGTGTGATGAGAACACTTCATATCTACCCTCTTAACAAATTTCAAATATGTAATACAGCATCGTTACCTACAGTCCCTCTCTTAGTCCACTGTGCTGCTATAACAGCCTGGATAATTTATGAAGAACAGAGAACAGACATTTGAGTTTTGGAGTCTGGGAAGTCCAAGATCAAGGTACTGCCAGGTGCAGTTGCCTGCTGAAGGTGCCAACCCTGCTTCCAAGATGACTACCTGAACCCTGTGCCCTCCAGAAGGGAGCAATACATGTCCTCATAAGGCAAAAGTCAGAAGAGCAAAAAGAGGTGAAGGTCCTTCATCAGGTGCTTTTATAAGGTCACTTAACCTTATAAACTCATTCACCTCCCAGTGGTCACACTTCTCAATATTGTTTTATTAGGGATTGAGTTTTAACATGAATTCTGTAGAGGACAAAACATCCAAACTATAGCAGCCCTATATGCTGTATATTAGGTCTCCAGAACTTGTTTGTCCTGTATAACTGAAATTTTCTGCCCTTTGACAAGTATCTCCCTATTTCCACAGCCTGGCACCTTTCTACTGTCTCTTCCTACGTGTTCAACTTTTTAATATTTCATTAAGAAGTAGTGTTTTTCCATGCATGGCTTATTTCACTTTATGCTTGGCATAAGTCCTCCAGATTCACTTATGTTGTTGAAAATGGAAGGATTTCCTTATTTTTCAAGCAGAATAATATTTCATTACACACATATACACCCAGAGAAGAGAGAGAGAGAGAGAGAGAGAGAGAGAGAGAGAGAGACAAGGAAACAGGGGGGAGAGAGAGAGAGAGAGAGAGAGAGAGAGAGAGAGAGAGAGAGACATACACATTTTCTTTTCCCATTTATACACTTAGGGATGCTTAGGTTGTTTCTGTATCTTGACTTTTGTAAATAATGTTGTCATGAATATAGCACTTGCAGATACGCTTCCAGATGTTGATTTTATTTCCTTTGGATACACACACAGATGTGAGATTACTGGATCAGGTGGCAGTAGTATTTTTAATTTGTAGAGGAACCTCCACACTGTTTTTCACAATGTGTGTACATTTACATTCCCACCAATTGTGTATAAGGGTTCACTTTTCTCCTAATCCTTGCCATTGCGGTTATCTTCTGTCCTTTTAACAATAGCTATTCTAACGAGTACAAGGTGATATCTCATTGTCGTTTTTATTTACATTTCCCTGATTATTAATAATGTTGACCATCTTTTCATATACCTATTGGCCATTTGCATGTCTTCTTTTGAGAAAAGTCTGTTCAAGTTTTTTGTCTATTTTCAATTATTATTATTTTGCTATTTAGCTTTATGAATTCCATATATAGGATGTAACCCCTTATTGGATACATGGCTGCAAACATTTTATCCCCCTCTGTAGTTTGCCTGCTTTGTTGGTATTTTCCTTTCTTGTGCAGAAACTCTTTTCATTTGAAATAGTACCACTCTATGTTTGCTTCTGTTTTCTCTGCTTTTGGTGTCATATCCAAAAAACAAACAAAACATTGCCAAGACCAATGTCAAGGAGCTTTTCTTTTCTTTTTTCTTTTTTTTCCTACAAGTTTCTTGGTTTCTGATCTTATGTTTAAATCTTTAATACATGCTCAGTTGATTTTTGTGTATGGTGTAAGATAAGAACCCAGTTTTAATTTTTTGTATGTAGATACTCAGTTTTCCCAAAGCCATATATTGAAGAAAGCACAGTCGTGCTTTTCCTAGTTTTAATTTTGGTGTATTTGTCAAAGATTGACTATATGTGTTTGGGTTTATTTCTGTACTGTCTATTCTTTTCTATGAATCTATATTTCTGTTTTTATACAAGTACCATACTTTTTAAATTACGATAGCATAGTAGTATAGTTTGAAAATAGGAAATGTGAGGCCTCCAGCACTGTTCTTCTTGCTTAATTTCTTTAGCTATTTGTGGTCTTTTGTTGTTGTTTTTTTTTTCTTTAAATAAATTTCGGTATTCTGGTTTTCTATTTCTGTGAAAAAATGACAATGGAATTGTAGGAATAGCACTGAGTCTGTAGATCACTTTGGGTAATATGGACATTTAAAAATATTAATTCTTTCAATCCATGTACATGGATAGCTCTCCATTTATTTGTCTTCAATTTCTTTAATCAAAATGTTATAGATTTCAGTATAGAGATCTTTCACTTCCTTTGTTAAAATTATTCCTAAGTATTTTGTTCATTTTGATCTTACTGTAAATGAAATTGTCTAAAATTTCCTTTTCTGATAACCCACTGCTATTTTATGGAAGCAAAATTGATATTTGTATGTTGATTTTGTATCATATGACTTTATTGAATTTGTTTATTAATTCTAATGGATTTTTTGGTGGAGTCTGTAGTGTTTTCTGTATGTTAGATTGTGCTTTTGGAAAGATCATTTTACTTATTCCTTTTTGATTTGGATGCCTGTTCTTTGTCTTGACTAATTGCTCTGGTAGGACTTCTAGTATTATGTTGAGTAAAAGTGGCTAGAGTGGGCATCCTTGTCTTGTTCTTCTTAGATTCGAAGTTTTTAGCTTTACACTGTTGAATATGATGTTAGTTGTGGGCTTATGATGTATGGCCTTTTATTCTTTTCTTACTTCTGCTAACTTTGGGCTTAGTTCATTTCTTTATCCAATTTCTTCATTTGCAAAGGTAGGATATTTATTTGAAATCTTTCTTTTTTCTTAATGTTGATGACTTATTCCTCAAACCTGCTTTTACCTCATCCCATATGTTTTGTTTTGTTTCCATTTTCATTTGCCTCAAGATACATGTATTTTTTAAAATTTTCTTTTTAATTTCACTTTTGGCCCATTGGTTGTTCAGGAACATATTGTTAATTTACATGTATTTGTGAATTTCTCAGTTTTCCTCCTTATTAATTTCTAGTGTCATACCATGTTGGTCTGAAATGATACTGGATATGATTTCAATTTTTAAAAATTGTGTAGACTTGTTTTGTGGCCTAATATATGGTCTCTCCTGGAGAGTATTTTATGTGTGCTGGAGAAGAATGTGTATTCTGCTGTCGTTGGATGGAATGTTCTGTGTATGGCTGTTAGGTTCATTTGGTCTAAAGTGTAGTTCAAGTACGTTGTTTCCTTATTGATTTACTGTCTGGTTAATCAATGTATCATTGAAAGTGGAGCCTTGAACTCCCTATTATTATTGTAGTTATGTCTTTTACTCCTTTCAGTTCTGTTAATATTTGCATTACATATATAGCTACTCTAATATTCAGTGCATATCTATTTACAATTACTCTTTTATCATTTTATAATAAATTGACCATTTTATTATTGTTTTTTTCTCTTTTTACAGTTTTTGACTTAAAGCATATTTTGTTTGACATAAATATAGATAAACATGCCCTCTGGGTCATCATTTGCTTGGAGTATCTTTACCTATTGTTTCACACTCAGTCTATGTGTATCAAAAAAACTGTACTAAGTCTCTTGCAAACAGCATAAGGATGGATCTTGGTTTTTATCCTTTCATTCACTTTATGCCTTTTGATTGGCAAATACTGTCTATTTACAGTTAATGTAATTATTAATAGGTAAGAACATATTCTTGACATTTTGTTAATTGTTTTCTGGCTATTTTTAAAGCTATTTATTCTTTTTTTCCTTTATTACTGTTTTTCTTTTAATTTGATAACTTTTTTGTGTGTTGGTATGTTGGTATGCTTTGATTCATTTCTCTGTTTTTTTTTTTTTCTTATGTGTATGTGCGTGTGTGCGCACGTGTGTGTGCATCCACTGTAGGTTTTTTATTTGTGGTTACTAAGTATCCATATAAAACATCTTATAGTTACAAAAGTCTATTTTTAACCTGATAGTAACTGAACTTATGTCACATTAAAAAAAACTACACTTTTACTTCCAACCATCTCATTTTATGTTTTAGATGTCACAATTTGCAGCTCTTTATATTGTGTTTCCATTAAAAATTATATTAGCTATAGTTATTTTTAATACTTTTTTGTCTTTTAATCTGAATATTACAGTTATAAGTGATTTACACACCAACATTAAAGCATTAAAGTATGCTGAATTTGGTTATATACTTTACTGTGAGTTTTATAATTTCATGTTGCTAATTAGAATCCTTTTATTTTGTTTTAAAGAACCCCTATTAGCATTTTTCTTTTCAGACAGGTATTGTGTAAATGAACTCTTTCAGCTTTTGTTTGGGAAATTCTTTTTCTTTTTTTTATTTCTGAGGAGCAGCTTTGCTGGGTAAAGCAGGCAAAGTATTTTTGATTTGGTAGGTTTTTTTTCTTTCATTGGCCCACTCTTTCCCCGTCCTGAAGATTTCTTCTGAAAAATCCACTGATAACCTTGTTCATGTATGTGATGAACCTTTTTTTTTTCTCTTGTTGCTGTGAAAATTCTGCTTTTCATTTTTGACAGTTTGATTATTGTGTATCTCAGTGAATAATTTGTTGGGTTGAAGCTATTTGGGAACTTTTAAGCTTCATATATCTCAGTGTTCAAATGTCTTTCTCTTTGTCCAAATTTGGGAATGTTTCAGCCACTATTTATTTAATAAGCATTTGGCTGCCCCTTTTTCTCACCTTTTTTTATTTTGTAAATCTCATATTGTAAAAGTTAGGTCTCTGGATAATGTGCCATAAACCTGTTAGGCTTTCTTTGTTCTTCTTAATTCTTTTTTTTTTTTTTTAATTTTCCTTGGCTGGATAATTTCAAATAATCTGCCTTCAAGTTCACAGATTTGTTTTTAATCTGCTTGATCAAATGTGCTTTTGGCATTCTCTATCATATTTTTTATTTCTTTTTATATTTCTGCTCCAGTATTTCTATTTGGTTCTGTTATATATATATAATTTTGATCTCTTTTTTGAATTTCTCTGGATGAGGTGAGAAAGAAGTGGGACTCTTGGGTAGCATGCTGTGTGGCTGGAGGAGTCAGGCACTCACTCATTGCTCTCTCACGTTCCCCTATCATTCTGGCTTTGTTGAGCAGAGTGTAACAAAACCAATTGGAGAAGTGCCTGTTAGAGCCAGAGCAGAGATTTTTCTTTCACCTGGGGTCTGGCCTCCCATGTCGTTGTGTATATTTCTGTTTGTGTTTTTCAAATGCTGATTACTCTGTATTGCCTTTCCTTCAGGATGAACCCAGCTCTGGGATGGATCCCTGCTCTAAGCGGTACCTATGGCAAACAATAATGAAGGAGGTTAGGGAAGGCTGTGCTGCAGTGCTGACCTCCCACAGGTGAGCTCCAGTTTCTCTTGTAGCCATTTCCTGAGTAAGACTGAGTAACAAAGGTTAAGAAGTGCATTTAGGCCCCTGCACAGTGCTAACATAGACATTTCTTAATCTTTACAGCACAGTAATGGTGATATTGTTGTTAGCCCTTATTGTATAAATTGAGACTGAAACCATGAGGGATTACGTTATATAACCAAGTTTACATAGCAAACGGGTGGCAGAGCTAGAATTTGAACCTAGTATTCTGTGTCCAAAGACGATATTCTTGCCTCATCCATTGCTACTGTTCAAGGATGAGTGTTAGACTACTGTTTTCAGGTCTTCCTGAAGGATCTTTCAGATCCTTTCCATCCAAGGCCTCCTATTTCAGCAGGTAGAATTAGCTGAACTAAAATACTAAACAGGTTACTGAATCTGGTTTAACATTTTCTTTATCACAGAATTAAGTTTGTAATTAGATTTCAAAACCATTGACTTCTTTTTAATTTTCTAATACACTGTTCTAGGCCACACAGAATTACAAATACAGATTTTATAAAACCTACTTATGGGAAGTGAGCAATGTAATTTAACTAATACAAATTCTAATGATGTAATAAAGACCAGTCTTTAACGTTCAGACTTGTTTTGTCTTTATGCTTAAGTAAAATATACTGTCCAGATGTCAAGAGTTGCCAAAGATCTGACATTTTGCCCTTTTGCAAGCTGGCAAATTTAGCTTGATACAGTTTTACGGATGTTGACACAAGAAATGAGACTTCTGGGTCGGAGATGAAATACTTTATTGCTCACAGCAAAAACAGTAGCCGGAGTGTCAGCATGGTTTCTCGCTGGTTCCCTAAACCCCAGTTTCTACTGGACTAATGGATGCCTGCACATGTAGGAGAGGAATGCCAAATCTAGTGAAATTACTACCTTATAACATCTAATAAGGAAGCCAGCTCTTGGTTTGGGAGGAGGTGTCGCTTCTTCAATGGTTGTTTGCTGCAAGCACAACTTTGAGAAATGGCCCAGGTAAAGAGCAGTTAGGGCCTTATATTCTCGCAATTCGTGGCAAGACATGTAGGAACACAAGGGACCCATGGAAACATGCTTCCCAACAGTCTAAATCTTTCAGTCTATGCTTGAGTACCCCAGCTCTTGTTACCAGAAGTGATATAAAACTAGCCCTATCATTTGAAATGTGAGATTTCTGAGAGGACCTCAGAAGACTTTGCTGATTACTGCAGCATTATTAGTTTATGTAAAAATACTATTAAATGCTATAACTCAGCATGCATAATCCTATTATACATAAATCTTACAGCCATTTCCTGTAACAAGTATTAGTGGCTGCAAAGCCAATGTATTGTGACTAAATCAGCCATTCACACATTTCTCACATTGCTTCATGTCAAAGTAGACTTTTCTTTTCAATTTTCTATCTTTGGGCTCTTTCTTTTTTTAAAAAAATCATTCACTGATAGGTTTGTCTATATTGCTTAACATTCCCCAATTTTCACTGCCAGACTAAACTTTACACTGTTGTTTTTTTAAATATCATTTTCTGAAGTGTAATTTACATTTCATATAACTTAACCACTGTAAGTATGGAATTCTATGATTCTTTTGTAAATTTATAGACTTCTGCAAATGGTACCATAAATAAGTCTTAGAACATTTCTGGCACCTGCCCCCAAATTTTCTCATGCTTATTTTCAGTTAAATTAGCATTCAAGGCCAGGCAGGGTAGTTCACACCTGTAATCCCAGCACTTTGGGAGGCTGAGGCGGGCGGATCTCGAGGTCAGGAGATCAAGACCATCCTGGCTAACACGGTGAAACCTGCCTCTACTAAAAATACAAAAAATTAGCCGGGCGTGGTGGCGGGCGCCTGTAGTCCCAGCTACTCAGGAGGCTGAGGCAGGAGAATGGCATGAACCTGGGAGGTGGAGGTTGCAGTGAGCCGAGATTGTGCCACTGCACTCCAGCCTGGGTGACAGAGTGAGACTGCGTCTCAAAAAAAAAAAAAAAAAACATTCAAAACCTCCACCTAGGAAAACATCGATGGCTTTCTGTCTACGTAAATTTGCTTTATATGGATATTTCATTAACTGAATCATATAATCAGTAGTCTGCTGCCTCTGACTCTTTTTTCTTATTTACTGTAACACTTTTAAAGTCTATCCATTGCGTTTTGTGTCAATACCATGCTCCTTTTCATTTTGAACAGTGTCCCATTTTATAGCTATACCTCTTCTGTCTATCCATTCACCGGTTGATGAGCAGTTGGGTTGTTTCCAGTGTTTTGCTATTATGAATAACATGTTGTGAGCAGTCATATAAATGTGTTTGTAGGTATAGACATGTTTTAATTTTTTTTAATTTTTCTGAGTCAAGTTGCTAGGTTGAATAGTAAGTTGTATTTGACACTTTAAGAAACTGCAGAGTGATTTCCCACATTGGCCTTATCAGTGTATGTTCCCAGCAACAATGATGAGTCGTCTTTATTCCACACACTTGTCACTACTGTCTGTCTTTTGTGATTATAGGCATCCTAGTGAAGTTGGGTTTTAATTCACATTTTCCTAAGGACTAATGCTGTTAGAATCTTTTCATGTGCCTAATAGTTATTTGTATTAATTCTTTAGTGAAATATCTATTCCAATATCTCCTCCATCCTCCATTTTTTAAAAATGGCTTTATACTTTAGAATAGTTTTAGATTCACTGCAAAATTGAGAGGAAGGTACAGAGATTTTTTAAACTCCCTCCTTGCCTTCACACATGCATATCCTCCCCTATTATCAACATACAGCACCAGAGTGATACATTTAGTAAAATTGATCAGCCTACATTGACAGCACATCACCACCCCAATCCAGTTAACATAGGGGTCACTCTTGGTATGGGACATTTTACGGGTTTGGACAAATATCTAATAAGAAACCACTATTATAGTATCAGACAGAATTGTTTCTCGGCCCTAAAAATTTTCTGTGTTCCGCCTATTCATCTCTCTTGCCTAACCCCTGGTAACCACTCATCGTTTTACTATCTCCATAGTTTTACCTTTTCCACAGTGCCATATAGTTGGAATCATATAGTATGTAGTCTTTTCAGATTGACTTTTTGCATTAAGTTTCTCCCATGTCTTCTCGTGGCTTGATAGCTCATTTCATTTCAATCCTGAGTCATATTCCACTATCTGGATATACTACAGCTTATTTATCCACTCATCTGCTGAACCACATCTTGGTTGCTTCCAAGTTTTCACAGTTTTGAAAAAAGCTGCTTAAGGATCTGTGTGCAGTTTTTTGTGTGAACATATTTTCAGCTCCTTTGGGTAAATACCAAGGAATGTGATTGCTGGATCGGATGGTAAGAGTATGTTAATTTTTGTAAGGATCCTTTATTTTTTAATTGTTTTTTATCTATTATTTTTGAATTGTAATAGTTCTTTTTATGTAGCAGATATTCCTATATTCTGAATAGAAGTCCCTTGCTGGATAAATGATTTGCACATATGTATTTCCAGTCTATGGCTGTCTTTCCATTTTGTTAATGTCTTTCCATTTTCCATTGTCTTTGAAAGTGCAAACATTTTAAATATTGATTACATTCAGTTTATCGATTTATTTTTATATGGTTTGTGCTTTTGGTGTCTCATCTAAGAACTATTTGTTCAAGTGAAGTCCTAGAGATTTTCTTCTATCTTTTTTTTCTAAAAATTGTAGGATTTTAGCTCTTATATTTAAGTATTTGATCTATTTAAAGCTAAATTTTGTGTATAATATGAGAAAAGGATATAAATTCACTTTTATGCATGTTAATATCCAATTACTTCAGCACTCTTCCTTGAAAAGATGATCTTTTATCCCACTGAATTGTCATAGCACCTTTATTGTATTATTTATTATGTGATTTATTTTTGGACTCTCAAATATCATCCATTGATATGTATGCCTATTTTCTTGCCCAATAATATCATGTTGATTATGGTTGTTTTCCGTTACGTTTTGAAAACAGTAAGTGTTATTGCTTCAGCTTTTTCTTTATATTACAAAATTTTTCATTCTCTTGAAATATCTTTCAGTTTCTCTTGTGATTACTTCTTTGACCCTTAGTTTACTTAGAAGTGTTGTTCCATTTTCAAATACTTGGAGATTTTTAAGATTTTTTTTCTGTTATTCATTTCTGATTTAACTCTGTTGTAATTAGATAAAATATGTTGTATGATTTTCATCCTTTTAAATTTGTTAGGACTTTCTAATGGCCTACCAGAGAGGTTATAGTTTTGTGTTTTTTTTAATAAAACCCCATTATATATATATTTGGTTTGCAAGTCACATGGTGTGTACTGCAGCATCCAACTCCACTGTTGTAGTGTGAAAGCTTCCCCCAGCATTAGGTAAATGCATAATTGTGGGTTGTATTCCAATAAAACTTTATTTATTCCTCTCCCCCTATCCCCCACAAAATTGTGGCAGGCTGTATTTAGCCAATATGCTGCAGTTTTTTACTCCAGGCTTAACATGTGGTTTATCCTAGAGAATTGTCTATGCAAAGGAAAATGTATTCTATAGTATTTGGATGGAATATTGTATACACAGCAAGTTAGTTTTGACAGTGTTGTTTAAGTATTCTGTATTCTTGTGGATATTTCCCTGGGTATACTATCAATTACTGAAAATAAGATACTGAAATCTTCAAGTATAATTGTTATATTTTTCTTTTCCTTCTTTAAATTCTGTCAGTTTTTGCTGCATATATTTGGAATCTGTGTAGTTAGTGAATATGCATTCTTAACTGCTATCATACTCATATTTTGACTTTCTTATCATTATGAAATGTCTCTTTTTCACTCTAGCTGTATGTTTTAGCTTAAAGTCTATTTTGTTTCTTAAAATAGCCATTGCTTCTGTCTCTTGGATAATGTTTGTATGGTATATCTTTTCATATTCTTTTACTTTCGAATAATTTGTGTCTTTGAATAGAAGGAGTGTTTCCTATAGATTGTGTATAG